AAACAGTATATTTTATTTTCTAAGTGCTGAAAATAACTTTTGTGCCCAGGTAACACATAAGAATCAAAGAAGAGAGAAGTAGAGAATATTAACTGTAGAATAAGTCTTTACAGATATCGCAGGTCACCAAAATCAGAGAGGCTCCACTGCACCTGAGCTGGCACCATCCTGGCATGAAGTATTTCAGGATCTACTAACCGCTCATGGTGTCTTCAATATAAAGCTAGACAAATCCATGGACAAGAGGCCCATAAACAGATACTGAAGGGAAGAGGCAGGGGCATGTCCCCTAATATCCTCAGTCCAACAACTGTGGATGCTAGGAGGGCATGAGGGGAGCGAACTGCAGAAAGCAACTAAGCCCGAATGCTCTCCCCAAGCAGAACAGCGTATGCTGCTGAGACTGACAGAGGCCAAACACTTGTCTAGGCAGACCATGAGTCTGCCCCAGTGGGGTATTTCTTATATTTTTATGCTTTAGGCTGGGCTTGACATGTATCTAAAAATTTGCAAGCGTTGATAGGTTCCTGATAAATTTGCTTACTCATAAGCACCTAATTAGAGCACACGACCAAGCTCTCGCAAGTCTTACCTGACAGTAACTTCGTATTGTTAACAGGTATAAACAACCTTTACAAGATTGCTGGCATATTTCACAGATTACTTTGAGAGCACATCTCATTTTTGTAAAAAATCATTAAGAACATTAAATATACAGCTCATGGTTTATAACTCAGAAGATAGCTAGTCCCATTAAATCTCTCACTGTGCACATGTGGCAGGCAGAAAAAACATATTCAAAGCATAACGAACACATAGGTTAAATAATCATACATCATCTTGAAACAGGCCCCTAAAAACAGCTTTTATGTGAATTTTGAGGAAGTAGTAGTAACTATGAAATGCCTTCCCCCATCCAGTTCTTCAGCATAAATACAGCCAGTTCTTCAAAAGAGGCATTTTAATCATGCTCACATTTGACGTTACAAAATACTCTCCAATCAAGATACACTTTTAAAATAAATATATAAGTGGAATTATTAGGAAAGAGAACAAAACATCATTGTTGCCCTACACACACCCGCGGTGTCCCACATCCGGAATCCTGCGTGCACTCCTGGCTCTCGCCCTCTCTTTGTTCTGCAGTCTTAGAGAGAATTAAGAAAGGTATGAAGTCGGATTATCAAAGGTAAGGAACAGCTTCATTACAAAAAACAGGTTACATAAGTGAAGGATCTTTAGCCTGAAAAAGAAAAATGGAGAGGAGGACTCAATAAAACCACAAGCAGCATGGTCAGAATTGTTCCCTGCCTTGTCCAGGGCAAGGACTGGGGAAGTTTCATACATAAGTAACAGGTGTCAGGCTCAAGGCGAACAAAAGGAATGGTTCTTTCAGTTTTGGGGCTTGTTTGTTTTTTTCAAATTTACTATTATATATATTAAACAGAATATCCACTCAAAGCCAAACTTCTTGATACAGAAAGGTGTTGATGTCAAAAGCTTCTGTGGGCTCAATAAGCACCTGGATAACACGCAGGAGAAAAGTCAACTGAAAGCTATTAAATAAAACAAAATAATCCCCCCCCTGCACCTCATCATTTAAAGCAAGGAAATCCACAAATTGCCCTGCTGCCAACAATCTGTAAGCATCTAGTGACACTTTCCATTTCTTTGCTCAGGTTGTCATGTAGGTCCTGTAATTTGGCAGAGCCCTGGATCGTAACGGCATAAATAAAAAGGGAAGAAGTCCAGCCAAAAAAACCTAAGAGGTTTGGAAGAGCCAGAAGAGTGGCTGTAGCCAGGTGCATGTTGCCACGGTTGCCCTCCCACTACGAAAAACATGATGAGCCTGGGGAACCTGTGAACATCTGATGCCTGCTGTTGGGTTTTCCAACTGAAGTCCCCAGCTGGCCAAGGAACGAGCAGCAGGTACACGCTCGCACACCAGGGTTTCAGGGCTTCTCCTGAACATGGTCTGTGGGATGCAAAGGTGACGAAACAAAGCAAGCGGAGTACGAATCTCCCAAGCCGTTTCCATGGGATGATTTGGAGACAAATCAGCTGGATGTCTCACAACAAGCCCCCCACAGGGGAATCATGCAGGGCAGCTTACAGGACAGAGGATAAAAAAGAAACTTTTGGGGGCCAGGACTCAGTGGGCACTGTCTTATTGCAGGAAGAGACATGCCCATGGCCAAAGGGCAGCCTTCACCTGGAAGGAACTGGGGAGAAGGGGGCGTGAGGGGGAAGGTGTGACAGATTGTTCCTCATCGTGTGCTGTGCATGATGTTTCCAACATTAACATTGCTCTCCAAGCCATCCCCTGCCACATCAGTGGGGGACACTGCGCATGGGCTGTGCAGCAGGGGCTGGCCAACAAGATTGCCCATGTTGGATACTATTGAAAATGGCACATAGGGCTAACCAGGCATTTTGTCTGACCAGGTACAGCCATTCTTCCACTCTTATGTGACTTCAGTACTCAAAATAAACACCATAAGACAACTAATCATGGAGTAAAGCAGCAATTTATAGGCTCAGGGGAAAAATACAAATCGTCCATCTGTCATAAGAGATGAGGATTTGAAAATTTCATTAATTTTCTGAAACCGTTAGCTAAGATATTCAAAGAGTTTCATTACTACAAAGAGCCTTTTTATGCTATTAATCCAGATTAGTAATGACTGTTCAGTTTAGAGTTTGCCTAATTCTTTAGTTCTACCTGATGCAATAGAACAGCCTAATTCTTCCTTCCTTTGAAGCACGGTCCTGCCCTCTGAAAAATCCTTCTCTGCTCCTTCCCCTACTTCCTGCTCCAAGATCACGGTTCAATGTGCCTTTACTGCCTTATCAGCGTGTCCACAGATATTTCAGAAAGGAAAGTACTCAGAACTCCTCTGCAGCTCTTTACTCCCTTCATTTGTTTTTAATGATTTGATCACCTCCTGGCCCAGCCGCCTGGAGAAAAAAAGAAGCAGGGTTCTCATTATTATTAAAGATCCTCACCATTTTCACAGTTCATGATCAGAGAGAAATAGGCAGGTCTTCTTGGGTAAGAAGAATAAAAGCATTTTTTCACGCATCACTTTCCACACCTTTTAGTTGTACAGGCTGCATTTACTCTGACTCAGAGCTCCACAGTCTTGGAGGAAGAGACAGGCCTTTATCAACCAATTTACCACTCTAAGGCGGCGTGATCTCAGCCTGTCCCGACTGTTCATCAAACCCACCTCCCTCAGCACAGACACAGTGAACCCCCTCCTAAGAGGGGTCTGGACAATCTCATGTGCCCTGTAGTATTAACATGGCATTTCTGGCAGGTGAAAGAAATTGCACTGAGGCAGCCAGGAGCTGCCCAGCTGCTGGGCTCTGCTGAGCCACAAGAGGAGCCCAGACCTTTCCAAACTGTGTGTTCAAAAAAGTACATTCTCACGCCTCAGGGTGCACCTGGGAACACAAGGCAGAAGGCACAAACTCAGCATCACTAACACTCCAGCAAGCGAGCAAGGAAACCCTCGGAGAATTTGATTTTGAGCCTAACCTCTTGCCTCCTGCTGCCTGGCAGTTTAGATGAAACCTCCGTGAAAGGCCATGAAACTTTACAAAGGAGACAGGCCAATACCCATCATATTCAGTCATGTCAGTGGGATATTTAGCAGCTGTTAATGTTCTTCTGAAAGTTGTGCCCTGTGGCCTGCACAACAGGGTTCTTGGTATTTTTAAATGAACCAACATTTTCCTCTTCTCTAGCCAGCCAGAAACACACCCAACTGGAAAGACAAAGTAATTGTCCATCGCTATCTTCCTTCCTGGAAAAAACACTTCTCCATGTTTACTGAATCTATTGTGATTAACAGTGCAAGCCTGCTGATTATTAACAAGATTGTCTTGTTTCCTCCAAATCACAGAACATTTCAATATTAATGATATCAAGGAAGTAAAATTTTAAAAAAAAATCCTTACAGCAAAGAGATATTGAAATCTTAACATGAGTACCTTGACATACATGAATAAAATGAAACGAAGTAAATATTCATGTTTGTACCCCAGCAGCACTCTGCCTGTTACGCAAGATTTGCTGGGGAGCGGGTGGGGTGAAGAGGAAGTCCTAGGCTCTGTGTTAGTTGGGAAACATCTGTCCCTAAGCAAGGGACAAACGTCAACAAGGCGCTACCTCGCAAGTTTATTTCTTAGTTTCCTTAGACAGTTAATTACACTGCTAATCTCACCATAAATTGCGATTCTATAAAAATGATACATACAGTCTCCATCAAGAGTCTTGGTACTAGTACATTTACAGGCAACGTATGTTTCTGCCAAGTGTATTTGCGGCCCGTTACAAACACATATAACTGAAATGATTGAAGTTACCTAATTTTCCTTTTCTGCTTTATTTCTAAGAAGAAATAGCAGGAGTCGTGTTCTCTAATTAATAGTGCGCGTGCAAACAAGCAGAGATTTTATCCTCGGCAGTACACCAAATAATGAACGATCCTTTTAGGGGTACAAAATATACTTTCTTTGACTTTCAGTGAAACCTACTTTCATGGTATCCTCGTAGTCTCTGATTCACAGCAGCCACAAAGCTGTTGCATAGTTTGCAGTACTTAGCAGTTGTTAGTCAAGAAGAATGACAGGTCAAGACTGTGGTGAATTCTCAGAACTCCAAAGGCAACATTTTCAAAGAAAATAGATTTTTTTTTTTTTTTTTTTTTTTTTTTTTTTAAATCTCAAAATGACATCCGAGACTTGTGGCAAGAAGCGCTCTCCCTTTTTTTCTTAAGGAACAAACAAAACCAAAGCTGTTCAAGCAAGTTTTTCCTTACAGTTTTCTTCACTTCTCAGGCTTTCCTTATGTTTTAAACTCTTCAGAATTTTTTTCTTTCTCCCTGTAAAGTTTCTTTACATATAGCACAAAGTGAGACCACCTAGATGGCCACTTCCTGGAGCTCAACTTTGTTCAAGCACTTTCAAGTGCAGCTAAGTGTGAATCCAACTACACAGATCCCAGTCTCGGTGCTTATGAGCTCCATGAACCGGAGAACAGGTTCACAGCAGTGTCCATTTGGGCCGCTCTGGGTCACAGGGGGCCCAAAGAAGAGACCTCGCACACGCCGCCCTCGCACCGCTTCCTCAGCAATAATCCCATAAGATTGGGAATTCCAGTCGGCAGACGAGGAACGTGGGTCCCACCACCTGCAGATAGCACACCTCAAACAACAATTACCAGCTTTTCTTCATGTGATTGCGTATATGGATCCCATATTTGCAGGGCAATGAACGTTAGCCACCTATTTGGAAAAAGGTGAACCGCT